GCATGAAATATGACTTAATACAAATACAATTAATTTTTATTTATACCTTTGCTAGCTTCATGGTTTCTGTAAAAATATACAAAAACATTGAATTTGGGAGAATCCTAATGATGTGTAAGTATGTCCATATTGTCCATGTTGACAAAGGTATTAAGCATTTAATATCTGTGTAGGCGATCTAAAGCAGCCGTTAGATATGACTAAAGCGAAGGCGACCCAGTGGGCTTTAGAGCGTTTTCAACATCCAAAGAACTTCTTAAAAAAAAAAAAAAAAAAAAAAAAAAAAAGAACACTCCAGACCAGGCATCTAGTTGTTTATTTGTCAAACATTGGTAGCCACAGGCGGACTAACTAGAGGGGACCTGGTGCTTCTTGCTTTTAACTGATGCTTTTACAGTATTCAAAATGACACAGTGAAGAGTTTGTCTTAATAAATCAGGCATGAAAGCAACAGCGCTGTAATGCTCCTCTATATAAGTGGTATATTATAATGAAAAAAAGTCTGAGACCACTGACATAGACAAACATTAAATAAAAACACACAGGATGGCCTTATATCTCAGCATTTTGGTCATTTCGTGCAAGAAAAACAAAATTTAACTTAGTTTATTTTTTAAGGTTTAGCATTATTATCTAAGACCTGAACACAAGCTATTATTCACAGATTCTACAGTCTGTGCATAAAACAGCGCTCATCCTGCATTAGAAAATTAATTCATTAAATAACACTGACTTTGTCAAAAGAAGCCTATTAATTATGGGAAAAAAAAAAACAGAAAACAGACAAAAAATTATATAAAAACTAAAGTATCCAGAAACAAATCTCGCCTCAAAATTCACCCAAATTCTTCGGTTTAACACAAACGTCCACATTATTGTGCACTTACTATTTTTAGTTGATTGTAAGTTTATCAGTCGTTGTGTTATTGTTTATGCATTGAACTTTTAATATAAATATGTCAGGGTATTACACAAAAGATAGAAAATGAGTCGCCTTTAAGGGAAAGTTTGACATCACTGGGCTTTTACTGTGGAATCCAGATTGTCTCAAGGCTATTTATCCCTGAAGGCCGGAACCAAGCCTCTGGAAGATCTGCGCGACTGTGATTTCCGCGTAACATCCCGAAGATGAAATTTCGCAGAAACAAAACCAGCCGAGATTCAGCAGAAATAACAGAAAGCATGCCAACAGAAAAACGATTCGTACAAACCCACCCGATGCAAAAAGACTGCGTATTATAGCGTCGCAGTTAGCTGACAACCGAAACAGGGCCCCGTTTTTTTTTTTTTGAAGCAGTTATAACCCGGGCTGTTTGCGCTACAGCCTACCAGCCACCAGAGGCACGCGAGGAGGAGCTCTGTTCAGCTCGCTGTTCAACCTGTAGAAACTAAAAACAAACAAACAAACAAACAACATTTTTGACAACAAGAGGTTTTATTTTTAAGTTTTATTGTTAGTTTTGGATCAGCTGTAACCAGAGCGACAGAGTGGCGCCTCCATCTTCTGATCAAATATTGGGACTAGTTTTCTGATCAATAAGTCAGAAAGGTTCGTGAGTATTTCTGATCAAATGTTTGCAGCTAGAAATAAACAAACAAACTTACTAAAGAAGGAGACTGATGTTCAAAAGGTTGGCCAATTTTCCTAACAGTTTAATGACTGTATGCATGGTGGTTTTTATTATTAATTAAGAAAGAAGAATTAAGACAATATTAATAGGGGGACAAGAAGATTTCCAGCCAATGTAATGGCAGAAAGAAATGTCTTTATATTGAGAAATTTCACAAAATATTGGCTTAGATTGAATAATATTAATTGTTAATAAATATGGAATAGTATTAATTAATAATTAATATTGGAATTTCCCCATTGT